TGGTGTGAGCATACCCGCTCTTGTCTCTGCGTCAGTTTTCACTGCACCTAGAGGAATTCCATCCGATCCTGCTGCTTTGCTGGATTTCAGTAACTTTATGGCATTCAGGACTTCACTCCTACTTTCGTCGGAGGGTTTGTGTTCACTGATGGTTCTGTGGCTGCTTGTGGTATTTCTGGGCGAAGTGCAGGTGGTGGTCGATCCAGGAGGTTTTGGAGTGGTCAGTCCATTTTTTCTCTGTTCTTCCCCCTTGGTAACTAGTTTTCCCTCACTACCTTTCATTGGTCTCGTCTGAGTTGATCTCTTTCCCTCCGGCTAGTAACCTAGTTATTTGATACAATGCTGTCAGGTTTCTGCCTCCCTCAATGGCGGCCTGTTCTACTTCACTTGCCAATGTGTCGTAGGAGTGTCTTTTGTCTTTGCGCGCACTCTTCTTCATTTCTTTGCCAAGTGTTTTGTAGGTTGTATTCAGTTCCTCTCCTGTCGTTCACGCTTGCGCTGGTTCATCTTCTGCTTCACGATCACCATCTTCCTCTCCCACCCCTATCAGTTTCCATGTAGCCATCTAGGCCCATTCCTTGTCTTGTTTCTTCTTCCTCTCTAATAAGGTTATGCAGGTTTTCTTCTGCATCTTATTCAAAAAGTTCTAGCTCTCCTCCACGCAGGTTTCTTCAGGGATGTTGCTCTGCATCACCCATATTGTTTTGATGGCCAGCTGGCGAGATGTCCTTTTTAGTTTCGCCCTTCAGTTTCTGCTCTGGGTGTTGAACTTGGACTGTGGTCTGTTATCAACTTGTTTGGATTGAAGGCCTCTAGCTTGATTTTGAAGTTTCCTAGCTCTAAATAGTGAGTGGTGTGAACCTACATCTGCTCCACTCCGTGACCTGATCTTGTGTCAAGTAGTCAAGTCTACACTTTCTTCAGATTGAGATGAAGGCGATCTGAGTTCTAGCGTGTCCATGCGGTGAGATCAAATCCATGTCGCTTCATGAATATCCCTGTGCTGTACAAACTGCCTCTAATCACCAAATCGTTGAATGCGCAGAAGTCTGCAGACAGTTTTCCGTTCTCACTCGTCACTTCACCGACTGCCTCTCAACCTATGACGATTTGCCTTCCAGTGTTGTCCGCCCCCACTTTGTCATTCATGTTACCACACCCACTAGAATGAGTTCTGATATCGCCGTGGGAGTGGGGTCTTGTCTAGTACTGATTGCAGTTATCTCTCTTCCCTTTATCTGCATTATTTTTGGGTGCGTAGCGTATCACTGTATGACTGTGATGTTCCTCTTTTTTGGGTCGAATGTTTGCATCACGATTTTAATCATGCAGGAGATTGGTTTCCATTACCTGAGAGCCGTTTACTACACTTGGGGACGTCGTGACAGTGCGCTCGTGGTAGTTGTCTGAGTGATCAGAGTGGATTACTGACTCTCCGGGGGATGGTTCAGATAGTACACTTCCATTCCGTCTGCTTCCGCAGATTCCAGGTGACTCTTTAGGAACCTTATAACGGTAAAACTATGCAGTTAACTCTACATACATACATGAAAATGTACATAAATTTCGACTAGATCTAAAAGAACAGGGACTTCTCCCTTCTGCAAATTGGATAGGGTAGTAATTTCCTTTTCCATATCTGCTCGTGCGTCTTCTTTCTTTCCCAATTTGCAGCGACAGCTCCATGACGACATTTGACGCTGAATTTCAGTCTGAACATAATTACTTAGTGGGAACAACACCTGCTCACCGACTCTATGTCAAGCGATCTTTTCATTTTAAAGTTACTACACATCAGACACACTTCTCGAGTGATGCTGCCTGCGCTTATACAAAAGGTACCCGAAGTCCATGTACAAATACTTCCACTTGGACAACTGATCGTTTCAACGTCTATTTCCGTCCACCACAACAAGCATTACCAGTGGAATTCATCTACATTACCTTTAAAAGTAACATGGTGGCCTAGAAACGCTTTGATTTAGGCGCTCACCCTAATTATGTAACCAGGTTGTGTAAACGGGTCCTTCGTGGTTAGCAAAGCTAAAAACTTTCCAAGGGATAGACGGTTATATTACTAAACAACAAAATATGCAAACAGACTAACAACGTCGGCTGGTGGTTATAAGGCAAACTTAGAACATTGAGCGCTTGTGTTCCTAACAGCGGAACCTGTTTGTGTGATGGGGGATGAAAATCCATACCTGTCTCATGAGATTATGCACATCAGTGGCTTGATGTGTTAATTATTTAATACTAAATAGTTTAGCACTAAATACCATCTTGCAAACTTTCATGGACTAACAATTTGACGGTAATTGTAAACTGGTATCCCCCGTGTTAAATCCATTATATGAGGACGATATTCATCATTATCTAAACTCTAACACCCTGTGTACGCTGAAAAAAGATTTTTTCTTGTTCGTTCCATAACTAGCAGAATCTCCTGCTGTTTTTAATAGAGTTTGATAACATTCCATCTGTACTATTCAGAACTCGTGAAATCTTGTTTATTTTGCGGCATAAATCAATGTGATGATGCGTGGCCTCTTTCATGTTAAGTTACCAGTGTGAGGATAAAACGTTAATTTGTTTATTTATTTATTTAAGCAGTCTGGAGATATTTCAGCTTTTGTGCCCGCACTTCGAAACGCTAAACCCGCACCAGTTCGACACCACACTGATCACACCATGAATAACGAATACCTCCGGCAGGTCCCCATCACACGGATGAAAGCACTGGAAAAACTACCTAAGTTCCGTCCAGGAAAGTACCCTGGCTACGACGACCTGGGACTGGTAACCCTTAATGTGCTCCGAGGGACTCGTAAAGCAGATGTGCAGCCTCTTCAGGCACTCACTAAAGTCAAGCAGGTTCCTTCCTCATATGGCGAGAGAGACAGAGAAAGCCCTGGCAACTGCAGACCGACCGCCCCACACCCTGTGCCTTTCAAGGTATATGAAAGCCTAGTGGACAACAACGTTTGGGAATATTTTAACCGGGAAAACTACGTCCAATCTGCTCAGCATGGGTTTCGGGGTAGTCGTTCATATACCGTCAACTTGCTGACTGTCTAGGACGACCGGACTTTTGGCTAGGACAGCAGAAAACCATTACATTTATTTCTCTTGACATGGCTAAAACTTTCGACAGTGTCCCCACCCGCAGCCCCCCTTCATAAGAACGTGTCGGCCAGGACAAGTGAACTTCTACCCTGTTGTTTCAAAGTGCACCTCGAAGGCAGGTGGTTCTGCACCGAGGTAAACACAATACATCCGAGTGGAGGGTATCTGAAGGAGAAATCCAGGAACCACTTCTGTTCCCCCGTGATGTCTAACGATCCGCCATGCAAAATCTCCACCCATTCTTATCTTCGCTGATTCTATCAAAAGTTGGAGGGTAGTAGACAAAGAGACCTGTTGTACAGCACTTCAAAATGACCTGCAAAAACGTGAACCGCGGTCTTCGGCAAACAGCTTGAGCCCCAACCTGGCAAAGTGTGAAGCACTGCACATCAGTGCTCATGAAGGAGAAACAGGGGAATTCCAACAAAAGTTGAGCAACAGTGCTGTCTTCAAAGTATCTACGGAAAAAGATTCGGGGCTCAACTTCCCAGACCCCCTCAACACCAGCTGCAACTGCAAAGAAGTGGCAGCTAGAACGAACGCCACCCTGCACTTTCTGCATGAGTAGCTTGGTGCTCCCATTCCTGCACCGTTTCTCAGTTTTCGAAACGTACATACAGCTGCACCTGGAGGTCTTCAATACGGCAACACCCGTCAACGCTCAAGGAGGACTTCAGTCTCCCCGAAGAAATAAAAAGATCTGCAACAAAATCAGTAGTGGGGCTGAGAGGAACGGCATACTCCGAAGGACTGAAGCACACAAACCTACTCACCTTCGGGTGTTGCAGAAAGAGTGGTGACCCAATCAGGGCATGCAAGATCATCCGGCAGGCAAGTCGCGCAGACAAACTAAACTTTTCTGCAACATGGTGGTCATCACAAGGAAATCCCGGTAGGATAAGACGTCGGGGAGCAAACGCCATGCTCAGATTCAGCCTTTTCTCCCTAAGGGTATGTACCTTATGGAATCCCTTACAGCGGGATATAGTCACAGCCCACGCAGTGGATACATTGAAAGACGTTTGGACAGCTTCACCATCTCGCATGGCCTGCCACAGAAGTACCCAGGGAATTACTGACCTCACTAACCCTCTACCACTCTTTTTCCACTTACCACACATCATCTCCCCCGCTGATGCGACTACATTATCTAATACCTCTTCTCTATTAGATGGACCCATACTATTTACTTTTAACTTTCTGGCAGGTCCTGTAAGCAGTTTTTCACTACCCTGCTGTTTCTTGTAAAAAATTACCCAAAAAGGAGTCAGGAAAGGCTCCTGATCTTCCCAGCAACCCGCAACTCCCTAATTAATCCACAAGTTACAGTTACTAACCCATAAAAACGTTCACTTCACGGGAACTGAAAGCAGGATAGAAGAAGAAATTTACTTGTCAGTGGCAGCAGAAAACCTAACAGACAGAACCAGCCCCCAATAACCGGACACGAGAGTTCAAAAAGTATCAGTTTTCTACGCTCACACTACTGATGTCGGATCTTGTTGGATGTCGTATTGCAGATAAGTGACTGGATCTACTGAATTTATATCCGCTAAAAGCGTAGAACTTTTCGGCAAGACCCAAAAGCAAGCAAGAAGAAACCGAATGGTCTTTCCAGGCTCGTGACAGAAATATTGAGTATTGGGTATTGGATTAACTGATTTACTTTACAAGGGCGTGATGACGGGCGTACCTCGAATTTCCCGGTTATGAATGAGAAGTGTTGTGTTTGCAACCTAAAGTTCCAGGACCTATCAAATACACTAGTGTTTTGTGGCAATTGTAGCATAGTTGTACATCAAGGGTGTTATGGCGTATCAAAGGTCACAGGTGTCAGCAACTGGTTTTGCAGAAAGTGCGAGTCCCAAGTGCGCATGAGCAAAATCGTAAGTTCTTTTACCTTCATACTGATTGAGCAGCGTTGTGATTTATGCCCAATTAAAGATGGTGCATTTAAACGTAGTAACGGTTTACGATGTGGTAAGTTTAAGCTTTCTTGAGAATATATTACAAAACAGGTTGGGCACATGTTGTTTGTGCAATTTACATACCTGAGGTATCCTTCACTGATCTTGGTACTATGGAGTTGATTTCGGTAGAGAATATTTCAAGTGAAAGACTTGGCCGGGTAAGTTACATCCTTGTGTATGCACAGGAAGCAAGGCTTTTTCGTGTACATATCTTCTCGTCAGCTGCCCCATAGGGTTAATAAAGTCTATACATGTGGCACTTATTCAACTGTAGTTATTAAATGTAAGAGTTCTGTTAAGTGTTTGAGTGTTATTCGATTTTAAAGATTCCACTGGGTTGCTTTCTACCAAACTTTTAATGGGATACATTTGAGTCATGAATGCGACCAAGCTATTAAAAGAAACGACTGTTAACTGGTGCGCTTCGATTAATTCGAAGCATTTCAGCTAACAGTGGTATATTTGTGAAGTACATACACACCTGAGGAATCATTTTTGCAATATCTCTTTTCTACCGACTATTCGTTTTCAGTCCTCGTGTTATTGTCCGAAGGCTTAGTTCAGCTCATTTAAATTTATATTTTTAAATAGTATGAATGGAAATATTATTAACGATGCATTTCGAAGTTGCTTTTTGGTTTTGCAAGTGTAAATAGGTGTTCCTGCATATGTGTAAAACATCCAGCAGTTACTATCTAACTTCAACACTTAAGTTGATTGGTAATATCATCATTTGAATCCGACCGATAGCTACCACCTTAATGTGTTGGTTTAGATCACATATGACAATAACCCAGAGTTATAACTGTGAAACACTTGTTATCTTTAGGCCCTACCATACCAGGAAAATTTGAATAGCAGTAAGACAAAAACAGTTACCGTTATACTGTAGATAGCTAGTCTGTCATGAAAGTTCGGGGACGGTCATACTGCTGATGGGACGGGATGCGTAACAGCAGCAGATTGTCTTCCACCGATGACAAGCTATATCATGTTCGTGCTGCCTTCCCTACTGGTAAAGAGGAGGTTAGAAAAGTCAATCCTATAAGTAGCACACTCCCCTATCCTGTGATCTTCCAGTGCCGGTGGTATGGATTCTCTAGTTAGATGCAAGTCAATCAAAACTAAACCTGAAACACCCCAAAACGTCGAAAGTCACCTGCCCGAAGCAACGGTAAAGACTGTTTATAGTCAATTGGAAGGTGAAAATGTCAAGTCCGCATTTAGGGAAGCGGTAGACAAGCAGTTATCTGAACATGACAGCAATGCTCATCTTGAGGAAACCGGGCGTGGTATTAAATCTGCTGTGGAAACAGCGGTAGAGACAATGAGGAACCTATACCTGAAGGTTAACAAACGTCATTGAATTTCCGTGACATCATGTGAACTGATTGATCCGATATTAATTTCAGATGACCCTAATCACAATGAAGAGCAAAAGCCACTTAAACGTAAATTGACCAAGAGTCTTCACAATTACTGCGAACAGTGGCGGGTGAAGAGAACAAGAGAGATAGAAGAAACATCAACGTTGAGTAACACCCCGGCAATTATTTAGGCTTATTAGGGATACCAGCAAGAAAAAGACGATGATGAGTGAAACCATCGCCGAAAAAGATGGAAGGCTAATAACTTCTCAGGACAGGCGGATATAACACTGGACAAAACACTTTGAAACAGCTCAACTGGTCCTCAGCAACGCTTCAGTTACCCAGCCTGAACCTGAATGGGACTCAGATCTCTATCCTTCAACTCTCCTTGAGGTTGGCAAATCTGTATCAAACCTGAAGCGATGGAAAGGAGCGGGACCTGACAGTTTGCCACCTGAGGTTTTCAAGAATGGAAGTTGGAAACTGCTTATTCAAGTGACGGAGGTACCAGATAGTGCATGGGAATCAGAGATAGTCCCGTCATACTGATGTACTTCACTGATCATCCCAGTTTATAAGAATGTGGAGAAATCTTGTGACAACCGTAGGGAATTAGCTTGATTAATATTGTGTCCAAGATCCTCGGGTTCATGTAGTTATGCGACGCCCAGCTGGAGCCCGCGAAAGGCATACTCGAGAAAACTAGGCGGGTTTCAGACCTAGTCGAAGGTGCATCGATCATATTTTCACCCTCTGACAGGTTCTGAAACATACCGGCTAGTGGCTGACACGCCGTGTTTCTTGATCTAATGGCAGGCCGCTTTTAACTCTTGACCATGAGGTGGTGTGACAGTCTTTCACTGTAAAGGGAGTACTGAGCAAGTATATAATGCATATCAAACCTCTCTACTCGAACTCACGCAACCGTGTCAGGACTTATGGAGAGTTTTCAAGTGGGTTGATAACAACTAGTGGTTTGCTGCAGAGGTGTCCATTGTCACCGTTCTTATTTAACTTCGTCATAGACGTACTAATGAACATAACCCTATTTACGTCTGACTCCAAAGGATTGACCTACTCCTTGGAGGTCATCTAGTTGACTTGGAATGTGCAGACGATATTGTTGTACTGGGTAAAGACACTGAAAAAATGCAGGGTTTTCTGAACGCTTTGAGCAGAAGTCTATGTATCTTTGGCATGCGTTTCGCACCTGTTAAATGTAAGATGATGCTCCAGAACTGGTGTGCAACGACTCGCAGCTTAATAATGGAAGTAAAGTGGTGAAATTTGTCGACCACTTCATTTACTTGGGGAGTTTCATCAGCTCGAACGGGCTGGTTGCTGAGCAAATCTCAGCTTGGCTATAGAAGGCCTGTTTAGAATTTGTCAACTTTCGTCACCCTTGGCGTCGGTGAGATATCCGGCTATCTATCAAAGGATGAGTATACTGCGCCACAGTTCGTTCTGTCCTGTTGTACGGCTGACATGGCCTTTAAAAGTATGAGACATGAAACATTTACCGTTTTCAAGCCGTAGGTGTCTTCGTAGCATTGCCCGCGTGTGATATAATCACTGTGTTAGCAATGTTAAGGTCAAGCAAAATGTACTAAGCAAGACAGGTAAGTCGATTGACGAGGTTGTAAACGTAAGTCAACTGAGATAGTTTGGACATGTACTTGGCATGCTGACCCACCGCCTGTCTCGATGTGTCATGCTAGGGAAAGGGTTCAGGGTGGCCAGACCAAGACCTAGCATCATCCAACGAAGTCCCTGACTGTTGGCTTAAGCCTGTGTGGGGAGGTGTTGGCTGCCTAGTTTGGGGTCCCTGAGACGAAAGGAACCAGTGATTGAGGACACTTGGTGACATGGCCGGAAATCGGTCACAATGGTGCAGATGTATTCACTCCTTGACATCTTCTAAAGCTTGAATATTCACACTAACCTTTATCTTCAGATTGTTTATTCTCTCACACTACTTTGTTTACTTAAATACCACTCCTTTTCTATCCACCTATTCTTTGTGTGTTCCTGTGAAGTGTAGCAAATTGAGCTGATGAACTCCTGTACAAGGTTCTATGTTGATTCTGTCAATCATTGTCTCACTGAGATGAGTATCAGGTAAATATATCAATCTGTGATGACTCTGTATTCGCACCCCCGTGGACGCATATGCGTAGTAACTCTAAAAACCGCCCTAACAATGGTTGAGACAATCAATAACGTTTCTTTAATTTGTGAAAAACTCCTTTCCCAGTCGAAATACCGAAACCTGCTTGGTCATTTCAGCAGTCGCTTAGATTACCATTTAAGTCACTCTGTCAGAGTCTATGGTGTGCTATCAGGTCAGTTGTGTATTATCTGAGTGGTGTCCCTCAAGGATATCCACTATCCCCCTCTTTATTTAGTTTAGTTTAGACGTTCTTATGGAGGTCTCCCTCTCGTCATATGACTTCACAGGGACTAATCTTTGGCAGGAGAATCCTTAGTAAACCTGAAGTGCGTAGATGATATGAGTACATGAATACACTGTTGAGATGCAAAATCTTGTAGACACATTGAGTGGCGATTTGAGAATGTTTGTGATGCGTTTCTCGCCGTCCAAATGCAAATCGTTGCCTCAGGACTGACCTTCTTTGGTGCTGCCCTGGTTAGCAGTAGTTGAGTGCGTTGACCAATTCACTTACTTGGGAAGTTGAATAAGCCCTGGTAGATCAGTGGCTGACAAAATCTCAGCATGGACACAAAAGGCTAGGTTGGCTTTCGCCAACTTACGCCATTTATAGCACCGCCGTGATATCCGACTGCCTACTAGTGGTCCTACTATATAGCTGTGAAAAATGGCCGTTAAAGATAGTCATGAGAAGGCATCAGTTGTTCGACCACTGTTGTTTTCGTTGCATAGGTCATGTGTCATGGTGTCACTATTAGTAAAGTAGAAGTCAGCAGTAGGGCTCTAGGGAGAGGAAAGTCAGTTGATTTAAACATTTAGCCCAGGTAGGTGACTGGGACATATGTTTCGCATGCCTAGTCACTACCTACCGCATCGCACAGTGTTAACTGAAGTAGGTTTATGCTGGGAAAAGGTTACGACCAACCAGACTAAGATATAGCACCAGTGCGTGACAGTTGGTCTGATGCGCGTATGGGAATGTAGACTTCCTAGTTGTTGGAGGCTCCAGTTGACGTGACTCAGAATCGATCTCAGTGGTGCAGATGTATGCACACATTATCTTCAACTTGTTTGTCATACTGAATTTCACCACTGTTTTATTCCTCCTTGCCGTCTTTTCACGATTTTCGACCACTTTGACTGCTTTCTTCTTAATTCTTCTACCTTTCACCTTGGTCTATTCTCATTTGATGTACTGATGTGTGGTGTGGCAACGTGAACCGTTATGCAGTAATGCGAGGTTCCATGTTGATATCGTCTTTCTGTCTGTTTTAACCAGTGCCTAGTTTGTATCGCCTTCCTTTTTTCAAAAAGTTGTTTTGTGAACTCATTGTTGTACATTTCAGTCCTGTGTATTTTGTGAACGGAATCAACGTAGCTCTCTAGCTAATTATGGCGCTTGCATTCAGTGTGCGTGGAAAAATTGCCGTTTGTATTTTCATGTTTCATGGTAAGTTTTAACTGCTTTATATACGGCTTAGAGTATATTTTCTTATTTTAGTACCTTTCTTGTTTGCCGTTTATAGAATCTTGCAACTAAGATGCGTTTCTCCTTCGTAAACTTTGCCACATATTTACTCCCGATAATGAGCACAATCAAATGGATTTTTGCTATTGTTGTTTGGTCAAACCCTGTGTGGTAATAAATAATATTTTGAATGACCCTTTTCTATCATCGATATAGTACACGAAGAGACTTATATTTAATACTATGTATAATTGTACCAGGTTAAAGTTTACTAACTTGTTTATAACCTCATGAGGTAGGAAACTTCCATTTGTTTCTGCATCTTCATTGATGTGATTAGTTGGATATTTGTTTAGCAATGCAGTCACTCCGTGTGGTTTTAGCTCATTAGTCGGAACATGACTGTTACCTTCTGAATCACACGTTCAAGCTATGTTTCATCAAGATTTTTTCGGAAACCCATGTTGCTTGTGTCTACCACTGAGTTGATGTCTGTGGACGTCACGTCAAACAATGTTTATCTTTATGTCTGGAGTTCGTGTTGGTCAGAAGTAAATGTCTGACTAAGCACAACTGTACTAGGCGATCGCCGTTTCTTGGGATGGGCTTCTGAAGGTGCCACCTAAGTTCCTTTCCGTCTAACAGCCTAACAACGTGTGCATTGAAATCACTTGCTACGAAAACTGCGTCCAGAGGTTTCAACTTCAGTAGGAGGACAGATATTTTTCGGTAGAATGCCTCCTTCACTTCGTCCTAGCTGCAGTCCGTGAGTGCGTAGGCAGAAATTATAAAAAAACTGAGTTTCACCATTCTTTTTAGTCCTCACTTTCCCATTCATTTGGACAGTGCATAGACGACTACCAACTGGGATCCAGTCGAGTAGTGCACCTTCTGCCTTAGCATTTAGTGCTACACATACACTGAGACAATGATAAATAGCGGTCGAATCATTAGAAACTCCAAGGGCGAATTGTATGGGTTCACCATATCGACGGGATGAGGTTAGGTGGATAACTGCAATTGGGTACTGTATGTGTGTTTCACAAACGCAACACACGTCCATGACCCGGGATGCTGGAGTTTTGTGTAAGAAAGCTTGTTGCCCGGTTTGAAGGTAAGTATGGACATTGAAAGTTTAAATATACATTTTGGTGTTCGGTTTCAGGAAACCAGGGATGATGTTCTGTGAGCTCAGATCTTTGTCGAAAACTGCAGAGCTGGAAGAAATTAAAGGTGTTGTAGTATCATTGATCCAAAGACATGCAGGAGGATTAGGAGGTAGGGATTTTGGAGGTGGACAGCTGTCTGACGGAACTTGAGTGCCAACAGAGCTGTGAGAATGGTTGATGCTCCTCACACCATGGAAGTGTGGTTCCTCTTTAGGTACCTGAAAAGGAAGGGTTGATGCATAACCACAGAGCTCAAGAAACATCCAGTTGAGTCCGGTCGCACACGGCCTCTGTGGAAGTTTGATAGTTTACTTTGTTTTGGTAAAATCTGACTATGAGCCCGTATCACCGGCACCGGTATTTCGAGGGGTAGAAGGGAGTGTGCTGTTTTTCGAGCCGACTTTTAACAATCCCCCTTCTCATGGGGAAGTACGCATCAGCGTGCTGCTGCTGGTCATTTGCAGGAAATACTTTACTCCTGTCACATCCCTGTCCAGCCAGCAGTATGACTTAGCCCTTGGAATCTTACCATAGCGTAAAAATTTGCACCTTAACAATTACTGCTTTTTTCCTCCCACAATCCGGCTGATATTACTGGTATTAGTAGGACCTCGAGAGAGCAAATGTTCCACTGGGATACCTTATTGGGTCATTGTGATGTGCGAATCCAACCTCCACATCAAGGTAACAGCAGTGGCTTCACCACCCCATTACCATTGCAGTGTTTTATGTTATTCCATTTGGTAGCTTTCAATATGATTTTTCTACTTATTGTAGTGCTGGTCTGGAAGGTTTGCTTAGCGAACTTCCTGCAACAGAAGCAAACGGATCTGTATCAGTTGCTGAAATATTGTTCGGAGCGACTGGTAAAATAAATCTCTTCATTCTTCAAATAATTGCGTTGAGTTACCTAAGGACATGGATCAAATGAGTGAGCAAGAATCTCATCCATATCAATTAAACGGGTTTTGCTGTCTGCAACACAAAAAGGTATTTTTTTTTATCGTTAAACGTTTTTTTTGCCATCAAAGTACCACCATAAATCACTTGGTAATCTGTAACTATGTTATCATGTCATCGTAAAAAGTAAACTTTCCCTCTGTCTCTCTAGGGATAAATTTCCCGACGTTCTAGTGAAGAACTTGACCTGTGGGGTCAATCAATCTGGGAATGATAACAAATGCTGACCGAAGGTATTGCATGATGGTTGCAATATATCGCAAACTCATAAAAGTAGGAAAATGTGGATCATTAATTTTTAATCAAGTGGCTGATTTGTAACGTGCTTGCCATGGGACCTGACGTCCCTTGGCTCGACTCGTGGTGGAGTCGTAGATGTATACTGCTAAGGAATGAATCCCATACTAGGACCAAATAACTGTTCAATGCTCTTAGTTCTTAAGTGATTTTTGAAATGATGTCAGTTCGTGATGAATAGCATCTCAAAGTCAGTCGATCCCCAATAGCCTCCAAGTTAAATGAATAGTAGGTGATGGAAATGGCGAAAATCTTAGTTATATTGATAATAATGTCCCTAGTTCATGACATAGATGTCATGTAATAACAAAGGGGGGTAAGTAGGATGCTTGGATCGTTTAAAGGGTGCATGAAGCTTATTAAACAGTGAAAAAAATGGGAGAGTTAATAAACAAACAAAGAAGTGAGTAATATGATTGCAACAAGTCAATTGAGATAGAATGTGTTTCTTTTTTAAAGTTGTAATTAGTGGGAGGATAAAGTAAAGAAACAGCAGACACTGTCATATTTATGAACAAAGAAACCATGGAATATTTATGAGAATTTAGTTAACACTCTTAAATTCCTTGTTTGGATCAGTTGAATGGCTGGAATGTGTGGAGTCTTCATGGATAAAACTTAAGTATTTCCTATAAAACAATATTTTTGTTTTCAACTTCTAAAATCACTAGAGGTATTGGCCATTCATCAACTGAAGCCTGATTGTTGTGCGCAAAACAAGTATGTACAACCTTTGTCTTTACCTTGGCCTTAGCTTCATCTTGTCTTGTTTTCCTACTTTCCTCTTTTGTTTGATTGTTATTTGCACCCTTTTATCGACATTGTCATTACTTTTTTATGTTTGTTAGCGTCTGGTGTTACTTCACTTTATTCTTCCACTAATTACAACTTTTAACAAAACGCACATTTTATCTCAATTATCTTGTAGCAATCATATTACCCACTTCTTTGTTTGTTAATTGACTCTTCCACTTTTTCACTGCCCCATAAGCTATATGCACCCTTTAAACGATCCAAACATCCTAACTAACCCCTTTTGCTCTATCACATAATGTCTGCGTATTTGACTAGCAACATTATTATAAGCATATAGCTGTCACTCACTATTTCTACTATCTATCATTTAAATATTTTCAAGAATTGTAGTCTATATATATAGTACGATATGGTGTAGTAATAGTTTGAATCCATTGTTGTACTGTACCTAAACATGACTTTATTTGCTTAGATTACTAAATATCTGGAAATTTTACTTTTTTTTGTTGCCATTGAGATTTTTCATAGATATGTAACACAACACACTGTACTTATTTGATATTTGTGTATTTCGTTCTCGCTGATGAATATGAAAAATACTTTATAATGTTTAAAACTTACTTGAATTTCAGATTTCCATAGGCATTTTGCGTTCTGATTTTCATTTATTTTTAATGGCACTGAAAATTACTTTCATCTTAATGCATGAAATTTTAACATGGTGTTTAAGTGAATATACAGACCTAACAACATTTGTATTATTCAAGTTGAAGTGAAAGTAGATATTCTTTGTGAATCTGTATCTTGTACATTTCTTTTTTTTTGATGAGTGATTGTGGGGTGGATTTTATAAATATACTGTTTTCATATTCATTACATTCAGAAATTCTCTGAAGCTCCAAATTCAAATTCAGCTCCTACTATCCTGTATAGGTAAGTTAGTACTATCTCTTAACCGAATACTTACATTTTGATTTGAGTTTGTTATGCTCAAATAAATGAAATATTTGTTTACCAAGAATGATGACGTGTTTAAGATATACATGTGGAGAAGAAATAGAGTTTTCTTATTTTCATACTTATCGAGAATTCCTACAAAATTGGAAACTCAGAGATAAAAGCAAAGATTTTCGAAAATCTTGTATAATTTAGCACTTTTACACTTAGCCATTCAGTAGACTTCACTCTACAATATTTTTCACCGGCAGTCTGATCCTTTTTAGTGACATAAATTCGCCGAATGAGTATACATATTTTTATAGCCATTCTCAACTGCTGTCATGATAAGCATTTTTCTCATACTGATTACCTTTACTACACTGAATAAGTTAAGATGACACAGAAGTTCTTGATCACGGATTGTTTTGAATTCAATCAATAGTCGACTAGCATAGACGTCATAATTTATATGGAGATACCTTTCAGACAACTTTCGTGAAGTGTCACATTACTATCGATTTTTTTACTTAGATTTTGTTAGATCAATCTCATTAGTTCCTAAAAATTAAATAATTTTATTTCCTATATTTATTAATCCAACTTCACTTTAAGTTTTCGTTTCTGATAGCTGTTGTTAGATACATAATATTTCTACCCTGTGATATCAGCACTCGTTATTTAAAATAGTAGACTAGAAAAGACGCACATTTCCTTTCCGTTGTCACCCAATATCATGTTGAATGGGGAAATTCTATAACCCTAACCAAATTAGATTGCATAAGTATGTAAAATCCAAAAGATCAGTGAGTCACCTGTTAGTTTGGATTCCCTGTTTAATAGGTTTTTAAAATTTTACAGTATGCTGAGGAAAGTAGTCTGTAAACATTTTCAATAGGCAGTTTCCTTGTGTAAACTGGAAATTCACGACATGAACCAGATTTCTGTAGACTAGTTCTTAATTTTTGTATACTTGATAGAATGTTGGGGAATGACTTAAAGTCATCAAGACTGATAGACATACTGATGATTCTATGTGATGTAATCAAACGTGATTGCTACCCAGCTAACATGCCTATTCGTTGGCGTAGACTTTATCCATTCTGGTAGAATGAATTAGCTTTGACGAAAGTGTATATTGAAGTTACGAATTGTGAGGAAACTAGTTGGTTGTTTTTCCACTGAGAAATTTGTATTATATACATTATCTTATTACTTTTCTGTCCCAGCTGCCAGGATTCCCCCAGAGAAAGTTGATCATTCCTTGTTACAGTACAAAACTGTCAACGCGAAGTTCACTTGCATGAATGAAAAGACCTACTCTTTACTTATAGCTCACTAATATAGGCAATGTACTTTCAACCACTGGGTCATACATTCAGAATCCTCTTCACATACAAAGGTTTGAGGAGCCAAGTAGTGTCACTAGCTCTCACAATAGGTATGGTTCATTGCATATTATGCGGAATTACATGTGATCACTGAGCTAACTCCACACAGCTATCAGCACCATATTTAAAGTAGTTAAACTGAAGAATACAAATGTTATACAACAGCCGTTTATATATATATATATATATATATATATATATATATATATATATATATATATATAATGGCTGTGACGTGAATAGATTAGATGTCATATTAAAAGCAAAGGAGAAGCTACTCAGAATTGAATTCTGCACTACTCGAGATGCAAAATGAAGCACGTAAGAAATATGTTCAAATTTTATGGAGTAAATTTTCAAAAATGATAAGTAGTCAGGATTATTTTCGGGTAGCAGGTATTTCTAACAGCGTTTCACACACATTAGAAGTTGAAGAGAACTGAGTTTCCTGCAGTAGGTAGTTGAATTCTGAGGAGTGAAGCAATTTATTACAGTTTTTGGACTGACAATCAGTGGGAGATACAGATGAACACTGAAACTCTAAGTTAGTAGTCATCTAGAATGCATAGATCGAAAGTACACCTTGAGTGTTATTCTGTTAACTGGTTCCCTTCTACATCTATGAGATTGAAAGTAATATTACCGTTGAATATTAGACAAAAGATTTTAAGCTATTTTTCTTTGTGAACACTGAAGTGCAAACACTCACGATCTCCAATTGAAACGTGATCATAAACGCACTAGGTATCTTCATAAGAACCACAGCTTTTAAAGATTTCCTCGCACCTTCGAATGGTATCACTGTGTATATGAGCATTTGCGTCCGAGATTCTCACTCACAAGATAGGTAGATATTGACTGGTTTATAAAGCTTACTACTGAGCATCTAATGCTTTTGAGTTGTCAATCCTGAATTATGTAACCTATCTTACTTTCTGCGCAAACTACTAGTTGACTAAACCTACCACTTCTTTTTAAATAATTCGTTAACAACATTATTTTTAATACTATTCTGTATATAGTGGAAGTAATAATAGTAAAGTATGCAAGTCTCCGACGGAAGAAACTTCTAATGAAGTGAACAGTCAATCGATTAAGCGTCGATCATCCCAGTTACGCTTAACTCAACGATCATTGGATTCAGATCTGAACAGGATGGATGATGAAACCTTTCAGGATGTTGTAACAAAAGATTATGAAAAACTTACTGAATGCACAAATGGTGAACCCACAGGTCAAAACTCATCTATATCGCAGAAAAGCCAGTTTCCTGATGCACTTTGTAGCCCGAAATCTACTTCAGATTGCTCAGATCCCAAACGGAGCAAGACAGACGTGAACTGGGGTGAGAATGAAAATCTTGAGATCGCTACCTCAGAACAGGTTCCTTGTGAGTCTATATTATTTTTTTTAAGTTAACGAAACTGACAGAAGTTTTGGTTATTGTAGGCAGGAAACTGGTTTCATTTTCCACCTGGACTTTAAATCGTTTGTTTTGGGATATGTTTATTCGCCACGATGTTGCGACACCTAAAGACTACTGGATTTTTACATGGAAGTAATTTTGCACAACTAGTTTATAATGTGCATAATCTTCCTCTAATAAAATTTTAAATCTCTACTTACATACTTATGACGGTTAAAACCGCTTTCTTCCTCTGACAAACGGCATCTAAATGGATCTAATCTAGCTACAGTATTGTTGCCCTCAAGATCTGTCATAGGTGTAATTTAAGAGGTAATCATCCTGCTGACTGTGGTTGTCTACCTCTACTTTTGAAACTACTTTTCCAACTAAATGTTCTTTCTGACTTTTGTCATATTAATCATCTGCTTAATTAGTGTTTTAAGCTCTGGTACTGTCAGATATTTTAGTATTTCAGGTTGGAATTCATCATGCACTGACACCAGTTGGAGGAACATTAAAAATCTGGGGGGATTAGAAAGTTGTTTCGTCCTAGTATGGGAATCTTCAGCAGTTTGCACCCATGACCCCGCTAGGGATCGAACCTAGGACCTCCAGGTTCCGTGGCCAGTACGTTGCCATTAAGCCACTGGGTGGAACCCAATCGTCCATATTTCTTACTTCTGTCAGTTCATGATATAGCGCGATCTCCATCCAATGCCGTCGCTGAGTAACTGTCCTCATGTTCGACTTGGTCGGCTCCACTGGTCACGACTTCTCATTGGAACCTTAGGAATCACCTCTCAAAGCTAGTCAGCAGTGAGCGGTAGATTAATTTAATCTGCAACAAATATTGCTAAGTGTTTTAAAAAACGACTACATAGCGATTTCACTCCTAATCCTTCAATTATTGATTCTCATTTTGATTTAAACTTTAAATATTTGCACACTATTGGTATTCCAGTTGGTGGAACCCTGGCTCATTGGCTTAAGCAGTTGACTTTCAACCGTTGGGTCACGAGTTCGAAACTCGATCCATCTACCGAGGTTTGAACAACCAGGTAGTATCACTAGCCTCTCGCACAATAGGTGTGGTTCATTGTTTTCTGCACGAATGTGCACAAGGTTGCTTGAGTACGTTTCATTCTGTATTCTAGTTGAGCAGATAATGTGACGAAGTGCAGGAGGTAATGGTGATGCAATCCATTAGGTGAGAGGACAAGCCTTCAGAAAGGAAACAAAACCGTCTACCTGTTGGTACTGGTGTACATTCGATAATTCTAAGGGTGAAAATGCCTCAGTCATGATTTTCATAGGTTCACATCAAGGTTGAAGCTCATTCTTTGAAAGCTTATGTGAAGAGAATGGTTAAAAAGAAACATGTTCTCTGGTGGTTTCTTCAAGACTTTTCATTCCCATATCTAAAATTCTTGATAATTCGAAGTCTGAACTGTTGAACCACTTTACACAATAAATCTCTCAAGTGTGATGCTTTTTGAATCAATTTGTTAGATAAATGATATCTTCTTTTAGAACTATAAGCGTCTTTAGCGTAAGCCTCACATAAGAATGACTTTTCTGTTAGTTGTCTGACTTCATGTCCTAACACACTAAGGATAAATTGGTTACTCTTGATAATCCTTTGGTTAGTGAATCATTCATAGGTGATAATTAAACGGGAAATGTCTCACCATTTGGTCCTTTATCCCTTGTTTATGACTTTTTTGATCAGTGTATTGACTAGAACTATCTCAGTGCATCTGTTAACTGCTTCTCAAATTTATTACCACGCTTCTCAAACTTCTCAAACATATCTGACCAATTAGTCAGTGTCATTACTGAGTGACTTTCCGAGTTGCCACACTTCACATCAACACCTAAAAATACAAGGCAAGAAGATAAAAGACAGTGAAACCGAAGCGTAGTCATCGAAAGTCGTAGGAACTCATGAGAAAGGAAGGGAAGTAGGCAACTGACTAAACGTTACATAGCGATTAGGATAAAGATAATGTCTGTATGGATATGCTGCACTGTGATTAATTCTTATCCTTACTACTTAAATTCTCTAGTTATTGATCTCGGTTTTCATGCAGACTTCAACTATGAAGTCTACATTCTCTTGTGCGATTGAAGTTGACGGTCTTAAACTTCGTGGACTTATGCTACTTTTTCTTTTGGTCAATCTCATGCTTACTCGAATCCTACTTCAACTGACATCATGGGTCAGGGTAAGTGGTTACTAAGCATGGGTAACCGGAACTGTTAAAGTTTCACAATCCCCTGAACTGGTGTATGTCATATACCTAGGTGTCAACTTGTAACTGAGTCATTACTAATGTGACGGTTACGGGACTTGGCTAAATGGTACTTAGGCAACGGCAATAGAACACCTGAAACCTGCTCCTGTTTATCATGATACCATAGGATAGGGTAACGTATTTAAAGTTTTCTCTGTGCAATATTATCACATTTCTACAGTCAAAAGGATGTTCGTTATTACTTATTTACATTGATGTATGAGTGACGATGGATCCTGGCGTTTCAGTGTGGGACGGTGTTCGTAGAAACATCAATGAAAATTACCAATTGACCTATATCAATGATATTTATGTTCGATATATTTGGTCTGATGGTTGGTGTTAAACTCTCCTGATTTGGATAAAGTGTTTCCGTTGCTTTCATCAGTTTCTGGGAAATGTGTATTTCACGTGTAAATATTTGTGTATGGTTTGTAAAACTTTCTTTACTGTTGGTCAAGTGTTAGACATTTGGTGAAGTTAAGAAGAACAATCATCCTTTTAGAGGATTGTGTGGAGATGACTTTCCTTATTCGTCCTAATTGTGGCTGTACTGTAGTAAACCTTGACTCGTTTGATAATGACATAGTAAGTGTGTAGTGCACTGAGGAGTTTATTCAAGTTCCTGATTTAGGGGCTAGGTTACCTAGAGATACTCAAACGTTACTTATTCAAAATATCAGGATTAAATTCCGATTATAAGTTATCTAGTGACTAGGTAAATTTGTGCAGGAATCAGGCTTCAAGCTATTGACCGGGTTTCGTGAAACAATTCATTACTTGGTCACATAACATGAAGAGATTATTCTTATCAATTAGAAATGTATGGTCTTCTGTGTCAGTTTTTTAATACATCTCTGAATTCATCTTAGTGGGATTACCATACTGTTTTGAGGCTGTCTAATACATATCATTTTTTCACTTTACAGTCAAAGAAGTACAGAGTATCGAAAGCGTAGATCCGAAAAGACATGAGTTGCCAGTACTAGATCAAGTTGACTGCTTATCGTCACATCCTCTAGACCAAGAAAAAACTGTTAAAGATCAACTATCTCCGTATGTTTCATTCTCCGGCGAATCAGCAAGTGTTCAGGGAAACGAAAGCTGTGATAAAAATAATGCAAGCTTCAATACGTCAGGTCCTCAGAATTCATCTTCTTTTATGTCCCTTGAATCTAGTAGCAAGTCACCTTGTTTGGTTACTGTTACACCGTCTGTAAGTATTTCGTCTTTGGATATCCCACAATCAGTCCAGTCAACAGAAAAGCATTCTCCAAGGTAAAGAGCTATTAAGAACATTGCTATGAATTATGTTGCGTTTTCGTATTTATTGTTATTAATTCGTTCTTTAAAGATCCATTCACAGCATAGTTATCTGTTGAACAATCACTCTTATATAGATCCACTGCTTTTTCTCAACCTATACTTTTCTTCTTTCTCCTGGAAGTAGATAAATCCATTACCTGTTGAGAGGTTGACAGGTTGCAACCTATATGATTGTTTTTCCATATCATATTACATGATGAATTTGATTTTATTCTGCTTATCTTTTATAACATTGAATTAACCTCCTTAAAGAGAGGTTGAAGGTATATTTCATGATCAACTCGAAGCATACCACTTTTGCATTAACTTGTTATTTATGCTGAATGAACTTTTCTACGAAAAATGCACGAATTCCCAGTCTTATAATGTGGATACTTACAAATCCAAGACATCAACGGAACGTGATTTCGTGCAACACAGCATTAACTGTACTTATTATGTGAGGAACTGGTTTCAACGTGGGCTATGGCGATTAAATGGATAAACTAGAGCTTAGATATCAGTCACAATATCACATGTTCAATCCCACTCTTCAAATATTTTAGTTTGTACTTTTAAGTGACATTGTCTACCAGTATACTGTAGTTCTGTTATAAAGTTTCCCCCACAATTCTTCCTAATGTGTATTACTTTTGTACAGAGCGACAAGCCGCTCTTCTAGTTGTGTCAGATGCCAATTTTGTTTTCGAAGTTAAAGGAATGTTTTGCACAGTGATAACGTATTTTACGTAATGAAGCACGTAATGAAGGCTTTTGTCATTAATTTGTTTTCACTCTACAGTAGGATTGCTGATCAACTAAAAAATAACAGTAGCAATGAAAATGAGTAACACAACAGGGTAATGTGGTGTAGATTGCGGCCGGATTCGAACCAGTGACCACAGGGTTTCCGGCTCGATGCTCTACCAACTCAGCTACGAGATCCGACTGTTGACCAGATTTTTATCCCACTTTAATCACCAAGGTGGGTTTTGCCCACCACCATGTGAATTCGAGACGCGTTACTATCGCTTCTCACATGAATCCAAATCTAACTGAATTGGAAAGAGGGAACATCGTATTGATTATCATTTTGACTATCTGATATAGCTGTGGTTTGGCAGACTAGTGTTGATACTGGGTGATGATTGAAGGCTATCTCAGATAGTCGAGTAATAATCAATATGATGCTCCCTCTTTCCAATTCAGTTAGATATGGATTCAAATGAGAAGTCCTGACTGGACAGCCAGTGTAAAGACGATCAAGCGATAGTAACGCGTCTCGAATTCACATGATGGTAGAGCAAAACCCACCTTAGTGACTAAAGTTAAATAAAAATCTGGTCAGCAGTCGGACCTCATAGCTGAGTTGGTGGAGCATCGAGCCGGAAACCCTGTGGTCACTGGTTCGAATCTGGCTGTGGTCCAAATTCTCATTTCACCTTCAATCAAGATCCATCAGATCAGTAGTGGCTAATCTGCCAAACTACAGCCATCTCAGATAGTCAAAATGATAATGTAGTTTAGATTTATTCACGAAGTAGTAAGCACACCTACTGTGTGAGAAAGTTTAGGATACCACCCAGAAACATCGTTTAAACCCTTTACGGTAAGTTAAGAGTATTTCCATGAATTTTACTTATGGTAGTTCGTATTTTGTCAGAAGATTTTGAACCACGAAGCCTCGTGAAACTAACTTACTCATAGCTAAGGAAGATCCTGTTGTAGTAGTCAGGATATGCGGTGTACCACATTATCTCACTTAGGATATAGGTCATCTGTTCATTTTCAGAGGTTTTTTTTTAATAATCATACAACCATGCATTTTATGAATTTTGTGTGTTCACTTAGAGATAGTTTAAAAAGTGTTGTCTTGATGATTTTTAAAATATAAAATAAACTGGAAAAGTTTATGAAAAAGTATACGTTGTTTTGACAGTTACTAGCGATGAAAAAAAGATTGTGCTTTTCATCCTATACACGAGTTTTCAGTTTGTATTCAATTTGGTGCTAAAAGTCAAAAATCAGAAATCTTATATGATAACCAAAATTTATTTAGACGATAGTGAATCATATAAAACACTTTCAGTTTTGGTAATGTAGAATGAGTCATATGCATCCAATTGCAATGCTAGTCTATAACTGTCGTCCAGTCATTTCTTTGTGCCTACACCTCTCAGTTAGTACAGTATGTCATCTAATTGCCTTGGTATAGAAGATTAGTTGGTTAGTTATGGTTCTTTCAAAATAGATGTCTTAATTTCTCCTAATTGTTATCTCTTCTTTCGTACTACAGACAATCAAATAATTGTGTATTTGCTGATAATTCGTGTTTATCTTCAGGTGATAAAACAGCCCATTATATATTGAAAAATTCAATTGTTAAGCTCTATATTACGGTGACTTACTTAAACGTTGAGCTACTAGAAAATTTCCACATCACAGTAGATGGTAATGCGTACACAACAATGCAATGTAACTATTCCTTAAATAGCTTTTTGAAACTGCAGATTTCCATGTTAACTAAATGAACCGTCACCACCAAACTTTCATACTGTATCAAACATATTATCTGGAATAAAGTGAACTGTTATTATCATTTCAAGTTATGGATATGGTTTTTCTAAAATTGTATGTAATTGTCTCAGTGATTTTGTTAACTTCAAACCCAAATACAAGAGAAGGAGCCTGTAGATTTTCTTGGACTAAAGTATCAGACAAAATTGTTTATTAGGTTCCATTTAGTTGGTTACATTACTATTCGATATATCACTACATCTGACTATCTTTCTGTAGCAAATATATCCATAATTATATTTATATTTCAGTGTTTTCCATACTTTTGTACTTTTAGAGGTCATCAACAGAATTTAGTGAGAAAACGTCGTACAAAGTCCAGCAAATGTTCGGGTATGTGTATGTGTATCTATGTATGTATATGTGTACTTATGTTCAAAAACCTGGCCGAAGGTGAAAATCTGACCGATATATTCACTGCCTAGTTTGAAACTTGGTTGGTTTTCTTGTGTTTGCTATTTCTGACTTCATTAAGGTTTCTAATGATCATATATGAAAGAATATTAGACATCATGTTCTTCAGGCTGATTCCTCTGTGGTTATAACGGGAGGATTTTCTCTCTTTCCCACTAAATTGGACAATCAGTGATTAAGACTAATCAGTGGGCACCACATCTGATCTTAATTCATCAGATAAAACTGGTCAGCCGAACTAATAATCGTGAACAGCTGTTCTTAATTTTCTCTAGCATAAGCTTATCGATGCCTCTTGCTTTTCCTGGTTTCAGATTACATACAACCTTCTCAGTTTCCCCAAAAGTTGTTCCATTGAGGATCTGACTGGATAGCCGGCGACGGAGTAGTTGCTGGAGGCCTATCAATCTGTTTCTCATAGCGTTTCATCCATCATTCGGGTTATCTTACCTGAGAGTAAACCACGTACCGATCTCTTCTTCTTATAGTTCTATTAACTATAACTGTCTTGGCTTCACTTTCCTTGATAAGTCTACTGAAAGTTTGTCAGCAGATTGTTGGAATGCCACCTATCTACAAGAAATACCTTACTGCTGTTTCACCCCATTCAGTCAGCAGTACGACTTGACCCTCAAACATCTACCCTAATTTGGGCCGTTTACAACCTGGTGGTAACTGCTTTTAGTCTTACCACTATAAAACAAATTTTTCCGGTATTATAGGACCTCAGAGAATACTTGTTCCAATGAGTATAGCTCGTTCACTTATTAGGATTCGCATTCACAAACCCTACGTCAAGGTAGCAGTTACCCGTTTCAAATATCCTTATTGTGATCCTTACTGTAAAAACAGGAATGTGATCAGGTTGTGTAACCAGGCAAACTTTTACTCCAGTGTATTGGTTCTGTCATATGTACATGATAAAAGCATGCTACTTGAACTTCGATTGAATCGTTCATGTAAATAGGCGTGGATCTTAAACAGTTATATTTGTAAATTTCGGGTTTTGAGACGAATTTCTTGGTCAGTGATTCGGACAGATTTGTCATCCTTCTCTTTTAGTATAGGCTTTTGTAGAAGCATGATAGTTCTGTTTTGAAGCATATAACATGTCGTAATCAATAAGTGTTCATTCACCGTAAAATATCAATATTTTAAAGGAAGATAACGTATTATAGATAAAGATAGAAGTTATGTCAGATTGCAATTGAACCTGCTTTCCACTGGTTCCTCTTACGCTTCACAGTTTTCATTCCCTTACCTTAGGAAGCGCAGTTGTGTCCAGCATTGTAAATGTGACAGATCACTGATATTTGTACTAGCTACTTTAGAATGCTTCAAAAGCTACAGTATTCATCCTGCAATCGATTGAAACAAAGGATAAACAAAGACATTTCCAGGACAAAATGAGCTAATTTTATTCCACAGCTTTTCATCAGCTGCAATCAGCCTACAACTGAAATGAAATACTAGTGGTAATAATGATATAACATACACTAAATATGCAGAAATAGATTAAAATTGGAGATCTAGGGTTAACAATAAGGTAGTGAGTCGAGAAAATTCAGGGTTAGTAATAAAAAATCTTACTGGAAACTATTAGTAATTTATATCTAATGTGGTAGAAAATCTGAAGTTGCATAAAAGGGGAACAACAAACAGATAGGAGTGTAAAAGATGAGATTACCAAAGGGCTAATGAGTTTCGCAAGTATATGAAAAAACGTTAAGCTGAGTGATTAATAGTCAGTAACTAATTAATAAAGAAGCGGCATGATAAAAAAACAACATATGCACACATATGCAAGATTACACGCAGTTATCAGGGCAAAGAAAGGTTAATTATTGTCTCTTTCTGAGTGCAAAGGTTAGGTTGAAAATGTGTGATGGTGAGAGCTATCACAAATCGTAATAAACACGACATTCTTTGTTTGTTGGTGTAGAAACATCTGTTTGGTGCTATCTGTTTCCACCAGATGCCGGGAGATTGCACTGGTAAAGACCTTTCTACCTCTCAGACAAAGATTTCTCGGAATATTCTAAAATCGAGTAGATACCCTTCTTTCAACCTTTCGAATGCTTTTGTTTCCACAAGCACATCTGAAATGGTATACACAGTTGGAGGTGACGTGACATGGGTATATGTATACTTTTTGCCGTATAATTGATAACACTGCCTCGTAAAGTGAGATTAGTCTGGTGGTAGAGAAGCTCCTCAGTCCAGCGTTTATTTTTTTCTCTATCGTCTTATCACTCGAATGTTAGACAAAGGAAAACAGATTTTCTCTCAACAGTTGGGTATTTGGGTTTCAATAAATTCGTTTCCATGCCTCATGATGAAATTCTTCGAATATCCGTTCTCTATAAGGGTCTTCTGAATGATAGCGAATTCTTCTTCCAGTTTTTTGATTGAGTCTAGCGTTGGCGTTCTTATTCTTTTCAAAAGCGTCCTGACTAAACCATGCTTACAGATGAGAGGACAGTGAATTTACTGACCAATCCATGTGTCATTCCTGTGGGTGATTTTCTCAACTGTAGCATCACGTCTCCGTCTTACACTCAGAGAAAAAAACTGGATCTGTTCTCACTTTCGTATTCCGTTGTAAAATTCAAATTTGGATGAGCCTGGTGAGAGTATCGAACAACTTTAATACATGATTCATATTATTACAAACAATGAAAGTATTATAGACATAACTGTGGTAATGTATCGTCTCCTTGATCTCAAAGTTCAGTTGTGTTTGTTCGAAATGAGCCATAAATATATCAGCTGGGATAGATCTTATTGGCAAACCCATAGTGGCTCCATCAGTTTGCCAGTATAGTTGATTATAAAACTGGAACTGAAGATCCTTTGCACAAAGAAACAGTAAGTGTTTTAGTTCTGTTTTTGACAATGGAAGTAGATCAAAATGTTGACAGATATTATGTCTATCATTTCATCCACCGCTATGCTCATAAATATTGAAGAAACATCAAATGAATCCATGAATTTATCTGAAATATCCAATTGATCGAGTTACTGAGAGAATTAGGATGTGTCCTTCAATTTGCGATTTGAAAACCTTTCTCCAATAGGCTCTAATTTCTCTGCTAACCAGAAAGACAACTTATTACACAAGGTGAATTTATCATAAGTAAAATGAGTCTCAAAGGAACACTTGACTTATGGATTTTTGGAAGGTCATGCATGAAGGGTAGTCGTAAACCTCTTAGTTTAAGGTCATTATAAGTTGCATCATCAGTTAAATACTTCATCAAAAGTTCTCTGAGGTGCTTGCTTACTTTGTTCACAATGGAAGCTGTTTCATCCCTCTGGGATTTATTAACTTTCAATCTCAACAGATCGCTCAAAATCCAGAGGAGTATATATATTTGTAATCCATCTATGTGTTTTGGTTGTCCAATTTTGTTTCAATCTTCATGGTTAACTTAACAAGTATCTTTGCTTTGAGCCTCAAGTTTACAGACTGAAACTATTGCTAACATCATTTAATGCATAGCAGGAAATTCGATCGGAACCATCGCTCGACTCAACATAGTTTCATGTAATTTGGCATAAAAGGTGGTTGAAGGTAGTCAATATGGAGTAATGGTTTTAGTTCTTGTTATTATTAAAATACGATATTCTTTCCCAAAAACGCCGTATATGACTGAATCCTGTTAGTGACTGGATAAATTTACTTGAGTATATTAATTGGTAATGATGGATCGTGGCTAGCAGTGGAATCCAGGATGCGCATTTAGTCCTATTTGACACTCGTCAGCTGGATGTACCTGCTTCCCAGTGAGTGATGTTGTTCCCACCGGGATTCGGATTCGCGAGCTTCAAACACCAGCGCGTTATCCACTACACTAGTCCGAATCCCGGTGGGAAGAACATCTCTCACTGGGAAGCAAGTACATCCAGCTAACGAGTGCCAACTAGGACGGAACGCGCATCCTGGATCTCACTGCTAACCACGATCCATCATTAACATAATTAGAACGCTGGTAATATTGAGGCATCCTCACAGGAGCCCATATGCCAATAGAGACCGACCAATTCGGTCCAATCAACGACGGTATGATATAAAAACAATTATACTATATTAATTGTTGTTAGGATGAATTCATCATCAGCTCAGAATTGACTACATGGATATTAATTACATGTGTACTTGGTATTGAACAACTGATTTTTACTCTGATTCCAATTTATCCCAACTTTATCGTTTAGTACTTCAGACGTGGCACAAGATGACAGCGCCTTTCCCGATACTTTGTTTTTCTTTGTGTATTGCAATAATTTGGTATTTCAAAAACTTATCTTTTCATTAGTGTGTAAACAGGCAGATCGTCATACTTAATTCATTCTTTATTTTACATGTATATATGCTTTCTCATTAGGGATAATCGTATCAAGTACATACTGTCTTATTGATTTGACTTCTGAAATCAACATCAAATATTTAGGTAAAATAGTCTGTTAAAGTTTTTCCTCTCGCTACAAAAGACCTACATGTTACTGTAGCTTTATATTTTGATAGTTTGTGTTGGATAAAGTAAAGCTGACAGTTTGGAACTTGAGTTCTTTGTTATTGGATTAGTCTTCTGATAACTGAATTTTTAGTATTTCAATATGCATAAATAGGCAAATCATATGTTTCGCTGGGTGGCTTTTTTTTGTTTTGATTCTGATCATTTGTAAACTGTTGCAATATCTCTGTGAGCGTTTATTATTTTTCTATTTATATGTTATTGTGACTAGACTTGAGATATAATCTTTCATTATTTAGCCACAGGATGAAAACACATCATTACATCAACCAAGATTCGGGTAGTCAATTCATATTACGTTTAGTTTATAACCTAGTACATGGAACTACATATAGCTGTCGAGTTGCATTATGCGTTTCTTTATTCAATTTATGGAGCTAT